ATCTCTTTGATTTCTCTGTTTCGCTGTCCCCCTCTCTCTCTCTCTCTCTCTCTCTCTGTCTCGAGACACATTTCTTGCTCGAAACATTTGTCACATATAATCTCGTCATCATCGTCTGGTTACACGATTTACGCATTAATGGTTAGGCATATCGACGCCACACAAGGTCAGGATCTCGTGGCTTTAATGCCGAAGATAGAACATAAATCGCAGATTAGGTCGAAGGTCGGATTACTAATAGGCTTTCCCTCCATCGATTTATCATCGATGGCACGACAGACCACTTATCATCAATTATATCAACTGGTGTTTACAAGCTACTAAGATAATTTCACTCCTTTCATTAAAGTGAGATTTATGAGAAAAGTCATTTGACATTGATTAATAATTTTACAATACAAATATATTGAAAAACATATAATATTATAGATTTTGGAAATTAAAATATTCAAATAAGATCGAAATTTTTATGCGTAATTAAAAACAATATGTAAATCTGTATAATTATACTCGATTATTGATTTATTAAATGTTTTTTTTCAAAAATTACCCTAATGCAATAATTTTATTAATATCATGTCTTTTATTTTTTATTATTAATTAAAGAAAGTTCAAAATCAGTTTAAAAGATAATTTCCTAAAGAAATCTATTGCTTTGGCAGTAAAAATTTATTCGACTGCCATTGCAAATTGTTATAAACGACTCTCTTAAATAAGATTTATGAAGTCTAAAGCGTCCATATGAATAAAATCACTCGTCAATCACAACTCTAATCCGCCATTCTCTTTGGCGCTAAAAGTCTCATGCAACAATCACGTACAAGCGTCGTTCATAAAACGCATAATTTCATAACGCTCGCAGGTAGTCACCGAGGAAAAATTGTCATTAGTGCTTAGACGTCGTTTCTATCCCGAATCTCATAAATAATTCAAGCGCGCCGCGGGCGCGATCTTTATTAGTTTCACGTAAAAAAAAGAAACGGAAAAGTAATAACGATGAAAATGTCGGCCAAGGCTGACGCCGCCGCCAGGTGTGGGCGGCATGTTTGCAACGTTAAATGCGCGTTAATGATGCATCGCCGCCGGCTGCATCTGCCGATTTTGAAAAATCCCCGACGTCGGTAGATCTGCATAATGGGTATTGCTGCGGAGATGCAGAAAAAAATTGCGACTCACACGCGCTTCGTTTCTGTTTGTTTTATACCGCACGATAACGTCTGCATCTCATGAGTCAATCTCGCAAATATCGCGCATACAAAATGAGCCAGATAAAAACGACACCCGGCAAAAGTATTCGGTATTCTATTGGCGACGTTAAAATAGACATCATAATTAAATAAATTAAATTGATGTTTTTTATCCAATAAAATGTTCTCGAAAAATTACCTTAATTTCTTTATTATAGAAATGTCAAGTGGCAATAAATTTTGAATAATAAGTATAATGGAAAGTTTTAAGAATTATTTTCGGAATTTAAACGTGACTGATGCAAGTAGATAAGAAAGCTAATATCACGTACGTTAAAATATCCGAGGTTTAAAATGTAAATTTATCGATCATATACGGAACTCATTTAAGTCGTTATCGATAATCTCTGTAGCGTGGGCGAGTTATTATCATATACACACGTGAAAAGAGCAAATTGACCGGCGTTAATAACAAATCGCCGTCGGTGATTTTTGAAAAGACACGCCGTTCACATATCGATCTGTATAGGTATATCGCTACATTAGATATTCCAAGGAGACATCGCAATCGTGAATGTAACTCTAATTCACGATTTTATTCAATTATAGTATGTAAACGCTTTTATGTCCCCCCCCCCCCACCTCTTCTCAACTTCAAAATATTTATAGCTATTTGTCATCAATTGTACACTTTGAACCAAAAATTTTGTCACGAATATATCATAAATAGATATTTCGAATATAAATGTTTCCTAAACGCAAAAATATAAATGTTTTTAATTTTATAACGTGTCTTAATTTTAAGACATTTATGTACATATTTAATGTATTTGATAAAAATATTTATATAAATTCAAAATGCTTTTTCATCAAATTCATCGAATCATCGTAAAATAATATAATTGAATAAATTGTCGTATCGATTTTTTTGCACCTAGGAGCAGATGACTTGCATGATTCTTACAACGTGGCGATATGAGTATGTCTTGTAAATATTGACTATGACTTGACATAGCAATGCTCGGTCTTTACGCATTTATAGTCGGCAATTGCAATCACGGGATTGGATAATTAAGTCGTAAAAAAAGGTAGTCAGAGCTTCGTCATCAGATAGCAATAATCGTAGACGAGCGCATGGAAAAATATCCGGTGGTTATTTTCTTATAATAGTAACTTAATTGTTCAAGGTGCAAAAAAATCGTCGTGTAAAACCGGAAATAAATACTGACACTCAGACAGAATAAGGTGCGAATTATCGCGTTTTTACTATAAATGTGTATGTGTGCATATACAGTAGGATGTCCGGTAAATTTCGTGAGCTGATAGATTTCGATAGAGCAGAGTAAACTGAATAGAAAAGTCTTCTACCATTTTGCAAAATTTGCAATCGTTAACAAGATATTAATTTTTATTACCGGTTGTTGTCGGACCCAGTATATGTATTATATACTGAGCTAATGTTGTTTATTATCGTTATATTATCAGTGCGGGTTTTTATAAATTTAAATTTAGCAAATAAGTCACCTCAAGTACTAACTTGGCTTTAAACACAAATCTCAATGTTTACAGTTCAATAACAAATCTAATCCTTTTTTCCAATAATATTGTAAGTAGGGGGAGATGGGGCTCCTTCGTACACGGGGCACATACGTTCAGTGATTCGGAATCGCGCAGAGTTGAAACACGTATACATATTTAGTCCTTATTGTGCGGATTCGTGCGCGAGGTGGACGTCTGTGGCCGAGTGATTCTATGTTCTAGCATCTTCGCGACGATTTAATATTTAGTATTTCTTTACTTCCGCATTATAACGTATTAGTTTTGCCTCAATCGACTCTAAGAATCTGGGCGTATTAACACCCCGCATAGGGGGTAGGTCCCGTAAGAAAAAAGAAGAAGAAGAAGAAGTCTTATTGTGCGACCACATGCCAGTAAAATTTTATGTTGAGGTGATTTTATCTCTTCAGTTTATCCAATGTTCCGTGGTGAAAACAGCACGATGGCATCAACTAGCATAACGCAAAAGAAGTCTGCTATAATATATATAA